TGAAAGTTTCAAGCGGATATTGAAAAAACTGACTGAGTTATGAATTTTTCAATGTAGTGCGTTTTTCGCTGGGAAAAACAGAAAAACGAGTGTAACTTTGGAAGGAAGCAAATCGGGCAGATATCCTTTGAGGCTTTTTCACACCTCGATAGGACCTATCGATCGGCACATGAACGGACGACATCGGATTCCGGCACCTGGGAATGTTCCCTCGTAAGTAGAGTGAGGCTGACTGCGATATATAAGATCGGAAAAGTGGACGGCATGATGAGAGATGAGATAACAATGTTAAATAATTAATCATACTGTTGCATTAAAAAACTGTACAGAGAAGTTAACTAGCATTCAGATCCCTAAATAAGCTATTACCAATTAGTTAACAATGGATCAGTAAAAACGGGCAAATAGATTTTTGAAGTGCAAAATAGTGGACAAAGGAAACTAATTGGTTTCATTTATGAGTAAGGTTTGGAATAAGAATAAAACAAGTTTATAGCACAAAGTCTAGACCATTAATTAGAGCTTCTTTTTCATCATCATTCAAAATCTTATTAGATAGATTTGTAATTGGATTAATCTGATTTTTTTTTTAAAGGAAACTAAGTTTATAAAAGTACAAATCGAGCAGTATTTTCAGGACGTGTCAAAGGAAAATTGATGAACTAATTCAATTAAATAAATATGTTTTACAACCGCTTTTGAGTTTAAGAGAGGCGGTTCTAAGCCATACTTATTTAGTACAAACAAAGTCGAGTTTAAACGTCAAAATAGATAGATTCACTAGTCACCAGTTTATTAAACTTGAGCATCCAAATCTAGCAGCGACGGACGTAAACTCAACTACATGCCACTCTCTTCAACTCAGACATCGCCTGAACATCGGCAGGTAGCCACGCTTACGCAATAGTCCCGTTCGTTGAGCGGCTTTCCAAAAAGTTTACACAAGTCTTTTTCTACATGCTATTCGCCTCATTTTTGTTTCAATTTCTAATCCTTTCTTCCCGACCATTTTTTCAAAAGATGTTTGTTTTCACGATGAGGTTAAACACTCCTGGCAAATTGTCGTATGATAATATCTTCAGTGATAATGATCTTCTGTTTAAACCGACTCGACTCAGTGAAGCTTCAATTTTTTGAAAGAAAGATTTTTCTTTTCCCTTGTTCGGAGTAGTTTTCTGGGAATAAACGAAACTGAGTTATATAAATAGTCAATTCTTCGTAATGAGATATAATAACGAAATGAAAAGAACGAAAAGGAGAAAATTCATCCCCCTATCACTTTGTATACTTCACATTAAACGTATTCATTCTATTCAACTTTGTTACGGCCCATCTCTACTGCTTTGTATTTCATATCTTTCTTGTGCAAATATCTTTTATCTCTCACCTTTGAGGTTAAGTTTCACACTGACTACACTCTCATTTTTTACTCTACAATGACGGATAATATTCATATTCGTCTACTCTACTGGGATTGTCGTGGAGCAGTTCAACCTGTCCGCTACATGTTAGCTGATATTGTTGAAAAATATTCGAATGTAAATTATACTGAAGATTTTGAGTATGTGGCTGAAGCATTTCAGGTGTGGCCAAAGCATAAACAGGATGCAAATATCTCAGGTCCATTTGGCACTCTGCCCGTGTTACACTGGAACGACGAATACATAATTGCACAGACACTGCCAATCGCACAACTTTTAGCACGAAAATTCGGGTTATATGGTAAACCAAAAGATTCCACCGTAGACATGATTTTTCATATGGCACTACTGGACAGTGTTGTCTCATGTGCATACACCGATATTCTCCTGAACATGTTTACATGTATATGGGCAAACGCCGATTTTAATGACAAGAACTCGTCCTGCTATCGTATCGGGAAGAAAATGGCAGCTGATACAAAAGTATTGGATAAATTACTGAAACAAAGTTCAACACCCTTCTTCTACGATCAACAAGAGCCAACAATTGCCGATTATTTTGTATTCGAAGCATTCACTTTGCTTCGCGATATTACACCTCGCTTGTTACATCCGATAGACGACGATTGCAAAACATTACAAAAACATGAACAAGCAATGAGAGCACAACCTGGCATCGACAAGTATTTCAAACTAAATTTATTGCATGAGACGGTGACAGGTTCAAGAAACGAAAAGCAATGGCGACAACAACAACTGAATGAAAAAGACAAGCAATAAATGAAATTGTTGAAGAGGGCGAGCAATTTCGTGTACTTCTGTGGCTAAAAAACAGTTGATTTTGTACTTACTTTCAACGCATAATGTAGTGTAATCCGCTATTTCTTGTTATCAATGAGTACTGCTTGTCAATAACGATATTACTTTTCTTAGTGGATTTATATTTAATTGATACAAAAAAAAACTCGTAAACTTCATTCACTCTCGTAACTTCCATTGTGCATATTCAATATCTCTCTCTCGTTGTTTACTGCACTATATATATTCATTGTAGAGCACATACCTTTCAGTCTATTGTATAATCGTACATTCTTTCTTAAGCAGTTACGTTCAAGAAGAAAAAAACTTCGAAGTTATTTTAAGTATAGAAGAAAAGTATATAGTAAGATTTTTAAGCAAAATAAAGAAAAAATTTAAATAACTTTATTTATTTTATGTTCTTTATTTTACTTAAGGGTGGGGGGGGGGGGGGGGGGGGGGGGGGGGGGGGGGGGGGGGGGGGGGGGGGGGGGGGGGGGGGGGGGGGGGGGGGGGGGGGGGGGGGGGGGGGGGGGG